CGTCAAAGCTTTTGCTGTTCACACAAAGACGTTTAAATAACAACTATTTTTGACAGGCCTATTAATCCAACGTTTGACTCTGTGCTGAAATCAGTCATTGATTTTGGTTCCATTTGGCCGTTTTTAACATGATAAAAATCTAAAGAGGTAAATTAATATGGCAAGCCCTGGCCAGCCTTTTGCCGTTTGAGACCTCGAATACTGATTTACACGAATACGTTTTGGGATTAAGTTATATTCTAACAGCGCACAACAACAGCAACAACAAAAACAGTAAAAGAAACAGTTTCAAAAGTACTATGTTTTGTTATTGTAATATGCCCAACACCTTGGTTTCTTTCCAGGTCACGTTTGTCACCCAAGCCCCTGCCTTCACGGTGGACACTGCCGAGTGTCCTATGGTCACTACAGATGTTACTGTCCTCCGCTCTATAAAGGCAACAAATGCGAAAGTAAGTTTCATTAAAAACTTTTATTGTTCTCGATGCATGATGTGCTTTATTGACGTCATAAGTTTTCAAATATAAAGTTCTGTAAATTGTTTCGTAAAAACCTGCGATTTTCACGATTTGAGCTCGAGATAAATTGATGTCTTTCGCGTCTAGTGTAAAACCATTTTATTGTAAAAAGGCCATTTCGAGCAAATTCGAGAAGTCTCACTTCATCCTAGGACCCCCATAAATTATATCAGTATTTTGTGGAAGTGACCCCTACCCGATCGTTAAGGAAACTACAAAAGTTCAAGATTCATCCTCATGTCTAAGTTCACCACAGACTTTATCTACGGTCGTGTTTAGACCATCGGTGTTTACTATTTTTGGCTATTAATAGTAAGAGTGATGTTCGCTTCCAGTCCCTCATCCGTGCTACACTCACCCGTGTCTGAATGGAGGCATCTGTATTGACTCGTACAGTGGTTACACCGCTTATCCTGATAGATGGAATCATGGATCTCTACACTATCTCTGTCTTTGTCAAGCAGGTTTTATAGGGTCCAACTGTGAAGGTAACACGTAACTTTTGTGACTGTCATTGACTTTGATTAATTAATTACATGAAAGCAATGAGTGTGTCGATAACATAGAAATGTACATAGGGGAGGCATGGAAAACAACTTCGCCCCATGTAGGTAAGGGTATTTCGCTCCGTATAAAGTATAACGTACTGTATCCAGATTCCGGAAAACCGGCAAATGTTTGCTAGTGGAATCCGGAATCCTCGGAATTCAGCGAAACCGAAAACCGCAAGTTTAACGAAGAATTATTGACCATATAATTGTATGAATAATATTCCCGGATGTCTATATTATGATATCTGTAAACGCTCAAGATACCCTGTGAGCAGTGATTTCTCTCTTCATGAATGGATTTTAGCGTTTACGAAGTCGTTCGCGACTTATAAGCCGCAGGAGAACATGCTCAAAGGAAAAATCAAGCGCCTTGCTGCAGAGGTTTTACCCGGGGCGTATAGAACAAAGCAACTACGCGACCGGCGACGCGAATGACTTCGTAAACGCTAAAAAGCATTAAAGAGAGAAACCTCTGCTCGCAAGATAAGTCCATGATAGATATTCTCCTGAATACTCAATTTAACTTTTTCCTATCTTAATATTTACTTTTAGTGGACATATGTAAGAAGTGTGACATAAATGCCAAATGTATAAATGAAACCTGCGTTTGTGTAGAAGGCTTTTATGGAGACGGTTTCGTTTGCCACAGTGAGTACACTATCCAGTAGCGTTTTATGATTTCCCTAAACACAGAACATCGGGCCTTTCCCTGGGTTTGGAGGAAGAAGGCCACAGCCAAGTTACCAGTAAAAGTGTTCAAAATTGGAATTGTATACTGTTCACAGCAAAGACCTGTGAGAATAAGGATATAGAATTTATTGGGATTTCACTATAAGAAACCAGTATTTACTTTTGAAAAATAGACTCAGTCCACCCATTCACCTAGACTCGGCTCATTCGAGAGCAGCGCGAATTACTTTCAACCTTGACCGATCCTTATCCGATGCTGAATGCTTTTAAAAACTCACCGGCCTTCCATTTCCTATTTTTACAAGAAGTCTGTCATTATATTTATGCACAAATTTTATTTTCATTCTTTATCCATTTTGCCTGAAGAATCGTTTTCAAAGAAACTCTCAAGCAGATCTTCACGTGCAGTCAATCAAATGATTATACCAAGGCCCAGGGCCGGACTAGGCGGACATTTCTTGTACAGAGGACCTGTTATATAAAACTTTTGAAACACAATTATCAATTTTTCGGGCAGTGTATTACTAAACAGTTTTAAGAACTCTGTGAAAAAAAATCAAAGCTGACATGTAGGCCTTAAATTCTTTAAACAAAGAATCGTCCGTTGTTACAATGAAATCAAAGGATTTTTATCAATTATTAATATATTTTTAGATTCATTTTCAAATAAATTAAATGTATGCATTGTAATCTTTAGTATTTTAGCTTCATCTTAATTGAATTTTTTAAATAGTTTTATTTCTTGTCTATGTTGCTATCTCTCTTTCTTAATTATTTGTACTGTCGCGGCTGTTGCCTTTTTCTAAACCTACTCAAATAAAGCATGTATGTAAGTATATGTATGAATGTATGCAATGTTTTTTTTTTATCCAGAAATACCACACCCTTGTCATCCAAATCCTTGTAAAAACGGCGCCAAGTGTAAAGAACTCCAAGGTGGGGAATACGATTGTGAGTGCCCGCCAGGTACCAGCGGTAAACACTGTGAAGGTAAGGAACCGCTCGCGTGATGTTAGATTTAACTCACTCTATGTAAAGAAAGTCATGAGAACTAAGGGACTGTTTACATGGAGTGGGGGACCCCGGTCTAGTGGGGTTGGTTTCTTTTGTTTTCACGCTCTGGGAGACACAAAACAACAGAAACCTACCCCACTAGACCGGGGTCCCCCACTCCATGTAAACAGGCCCTAAATAGGCCATTTCCGAGTTCCAAAACCTCTCACTTACAAAACGAAGCGAAGTTCAATCTTTGGAAATAAGTTTTATTTGCATGATAATAGAACATCATTTTCATATCAATGGTTTCACACTTAATCACACTTTAAAACAGACGCTTGGAGCAACTTGAAAATGGCTTATATGTGAACGATCATATAGTTACCTACAAACACAGGTAGCCAAGTTTGATATTACCAGATATAAAGTGCTGATGATAGCGACATGGATTCAAATCAAGTATCTCCCAGTAACCTCAAAAGTTCATGAATACGTTATGGATGTGGACGTTTTAACTAAATAGTGTTCTTTTAAAAGGGACAAGGAAAATGAGCCCTCGGTAAAAGACGGTATCCAAAACAAACTTTTTTTCCGTTAATATTTAACTATTATTGACTGATTCGGCTTGCTTATGATATGACGAATTAAGCAGATTTCGGAGGCTGTAATACACCGAGGCTAAATCTTACACGATATAGCCCTTTTTGCTTTACACCAGTAACTTGAATTAAGGAGTGAGGGATACTCAGGTCTTACACTGATCGATTCATTTATTCACATTCGATTTTTTTTTAACTTCAGAGAAAGACGCTTGTGTCCCCAATCCTTGTAAGAACGAAGGAAAATGCTTACAAACTCCTGAAGGTGGATTCCGATGTGTTTGCGAAAAAGGATACACTGGTGAAAACTGCGAGATTCGTAAGTCTTAAATAAATTTCAGTACTGATGTTAGAGCTTTTTTATTTTTTCCTGAAAAAAAAAAGGTTTCTGTTAGTTCTTCTTGTTGTTGTTGTTTTGTTAAATGAACCTATTAAAGAGAGAATAATTTCGTTTTTAGATTATTCTCTATTGATCAGCCAATAGTTGAGACGGAACATGGTTTCATTGTTTTGTCTCAATAAACAAACCAAAAAAATGAAAAAGGCAACGTTTCGATCCCTCAATCGGCTATGAGAAGTTCTCAAAAAGTAAAAGTGCAAAATTACTTTCCAGCAATCTTCTTTTCAGCTTGATAAGGTGTTAAATACTCGTTAAACCAACCAAAAGCCGCGCGCAGATGAACAGTTCGCCAAAAAATCCGACGAATTAATATATGTTTGCTTCTTTTTAATGTTCAGTGTTTTGTCCTGTTTCGATTTCAAGGTAAAATACCATGAACTTGAAACCTATAGTAACGTGACTACGCGTGAGGGAAAGTCTTACGATATCTTTTGTTGTTTTATAACGTTCAATCATTGTTTAATGTGAAGCTGCCTAACATAACAGAATGTAACGCAACTCTGCTGTACCAGACTTCATTGTTGGGTCAGTCAAAGACTGGATTAAGATTGCTTGATTGTCTTTCTTAGCTATTAATGGATGCCAAAGTAATCCTTGCCAAAATGGAGGAACTTGCCAGTTTGAAGACGGCAAGGTGGTTTGCAAGTGTAAAGGAAAATTTAGTGGACCAACTTGCGCAGGTAAAGTTTTGTTTTAGTTACGAGTAATGTTACTCCAAAAAGCATGAGCACCGAAAATATTTCATTAATATTGACAGCGTAGACTACTAACCCTGATTCATCACAAGACGTCTCCGAACGAGAGAAGCGGGGGGTGATGAAAGAGTCTCCCCTCTTTCATCCTTATAATCCCATCCCCTCGCTGCTTCCATTGAACGTGCTTCTCTGTTATGTAATAATTAAACAGGTACTAACCAATTACAACCTAGATCAGGACACTCAAACAGACCACGGGACCATCAATGGATTACCGTTACTGCTTGCGGATACTGTTCTCATACCTAAAGAAAGCCCGGTGCAAACGGACGCAACATAGCTGGCCAACAACTCCCAATATTGTTGGATATTACATGTTGCGTCACGTCCGTTTGCACACCCTCCTTCATGTTGTTGGAAGTTGTTGCACAAAGTTCGAAACCGGTCAAACGTTTGAGCCAACAACTTCCAACATTTCATTTGTTCCGTTATCGCCAAAGCGTAACGCAACAATAGGGCCATTCATACGAAGAAAAATAACACGCGTCTTAAATAAGACGCGAACTGTACCTTTTATACGAGCATGTCTAATCTAAGACGAGAACAGCTCGTATGAATGGTTCGCGTCTTATTTCTGTTCTTGACTCGTTTTCATGTGAATGTTGCCCGTAGCAACGGCAATCCAACGTGGGGCGCCAAAAATTAACGCATGCGTACTATGCGTTCGCGTCTTATGTAAGACGCGAAGGTCATTTTGTCTTAGCTAAGACGCGTCTTATCTAAGAACAGGTGTTAAGGGCTGTTCTAAAAGGAGGCGCGTGTTAGCTAAGCCGCGTCTTATTTTAGACGAAATGTGCCGTTTATACGGAAAGTTCGCGTCTTATTTAAGACGCGTCCTATGTAAGACGCGTCTTATTTTTCCTCGTATAAATGGCCCTAATGTTTGATCCATTTGCAAAGCTTTCCAACATTTTAGCGCTACGCTCGCGCATTACACATGGTCTCCTTAGAGATCATTAACGTGTGTTACAATGTTGTTGATCGAATTATTCAGATTTCTCTTATTATGACCTAATTCCCTACAAGTCCCAACATTGTTCGGCCCACCATTGCTGGGATTTGTTGCGTCCGTTTGCACATAGCTTAATATTGGGCTGTATATCATTCCAGAAACATCTTTGATGTTGACAGTTTGCAGCAGAATTAGCCCTCAACAGCATCTTACTTTGCTTAGGTTATTTATAACACAGACATAACTATTTTCCTTTTTTTTTAGACTGTAGTTGTCCTAAGGGAAATGCGTTTGCAGTGCCACCTATTTATGCGCAAGAATGTGATCTGGAGGGGAGCTGTTATTGTGCAGACAAATTAAGTCTAACGGAAAACGGATGCACGGGGGGGCGTAAGTATGACTATATCTTAGGGTAGCTAGTGACAAAATAGAGAGATATCTGTACACACGTCTAGCCTTCGACAATTCTGGGGTTGTTACTAAAACGAAGGAACGTAGAATGTGAAACGAGCACTGGGAATGGGAAAAAGAAAGTCAGTTCATGACAAAAACCTAACTTAAACTCTGGCTGACCCTGTCAGTAACGTCATTACCAATTCTTTCATTTGTTTCCCTTTTCTCAATTTCCTGTTTCTCGTGCTCGTTTCCTGTTTCTCTTCTTATAGTAACATCCCAATTCTGGTGCTTTTTCGTTAGTTTATTTCAAAGTTATTCTATTGTTCATAATCAATCAATACCTAATGCACTGCATTGAAAAGTATGAGCCAGAGAAAACAGACGACATTTTTCGTCGCCACCAACGGGTTTCCTCGCGAAATGACGTCAGAGAAATGAGCGCAGAAATTCCATACTGATGACGCGCACCACCAAGATCTGGATAGTGGCGTTGGTGGCGTCCCAAAATGTCATCTGTTTTCACAGTCTAGCATTTAATGTGTTCCATGCAGTGCAGGAAGCTAGATAAAACTAAATAGTTTTATTTTCATTTTTTCTCTCTTCCTTAGAGAAAAACGTTCCATGCGAATCTAACCCTTGTCAAAACGGAGGAACATGCGTGAATCTTGACAACAAGATCTATCAATGCAACTGCGCTGAAGGATTCACGGGAACCAATTGTGAAAAACGTAAGAATCATTGTGGTTGCTTGCAATTCATTCTCAAAATCAGGAATGTCTGATGGATTGCAAATTAAAAAATAAAATAACTTGGACTTCTAACTAATAAAAAAGTTCTAAAAACAGGTATTCCAAGATTTTCAGGACAAAACGTTTCAATTTCTACGATTTCGACTAATTCTATTCTATCAGTAAATAAGAGCTATGGAAACTGAATGGCCTCGAAATGACTGTGAGAAGAAAGCGGAACATCCACGGGGACGACCATTTTTTCGTTGTAAATCGTAAACGACATTCAACTAAATTGTACTCTTACCTTCAGACATGGAAATGGCCTCTATTGCAATTAGATAAGAACGCATTCACAGTCATTTAGTGAAACAAAATTAGAAAGCTGAATAAGCAGCAGGCAGACTTAAAATTCTATCTTTTTCCAACGATTGTCAATTGAATTAAAGTACATCCTGTATGGCTGAATACGTCGGGCGTTTTCTTTAAAGACGCCTAAATCTAACGGTTCACTGCCATGTATTACTCTGATAGAGGTCTGTACACCTGGTTATTGCCTAAATGGTGGCATCTGTAAACCCGTTGGCAACCAGCCGACATGTATTTGTCAACCTGGATACACTGGAGCGAGATGTGAAAACAAACCAGGTAAACAAGCCCTTGGTTGTTATTCATCCCACAGCCGGTCCGACTGCACCCTGCAGGCAGAGTCTTCCTTTCGCTTGCTCGATTTTGAATTACTTGAGAAAGACCCTGCATGAATCGCAATCTCGTACCGAGAGCCTGCGATCCTTTTGGTCAACACTAAGGATCACTTACCTCTAGAAGAATCCGAAAAAAAATCTCTGATTGGCCGATAAAATCGTGTTCATCGAATGCAAATTTCCTTGAAAATCAAAAAACCGTGAGCACGTTGATTTGATTTTGACATGTCATTTGTGTACACATCAATCGGATCACCTCTTCACTCAAGAATACAAAAGGAGTCTCTGCTTGAAGGGTGGTCCCACTGGAAAAAGAAGTCTATATAAAGTTTATCATGATGCTGAGTCGGCATCAACTCCACTGAATTTACGTTTTGTTATTTCCTAAGTCACTCATGAAGATGAATTATCAAATGTAAATGACTGAATTGTCTTTTTGAAGGTAATATAGCGATAAATGAAGATCAAACATTTTATTGCAGTAATTGCCAAAGTAACAGTCTCATTCTGGGTATAGCAACGAGATAAATTTAGAAAAAATCTTGAAAGAAATGTTTCATTATTCTCTACACTTCGAATTGTAAAGTCAATCAACATTGCCTTCTATATATATTTAATACTGGCGCATAAAAAGCTCTTCAACAGAACAAATTCTAAAAAAATTATGCGTTTTCTTCTGTCTGGGATTATGTAAAGCACTAACGGTATATGAACTTTCAAAAGCCATAACGACCTGATCTCATCGCACTTTAAACACCCAATGCAGACTAAAATGCCTTTCTGAAAAGCTATTTTACCAGCTTTTTTCTTTAACCAGTAGTTCTAAAAATCTTGTCAAACGTCTTCACCATTATCTGATCCTCTTAACTCTGGAGCAGGTGTTAAACTGACTGGTGTCATATTCCAGTGTACAACCCAATGGAGTGTAACGTACCTTTTATCACCTTTGTGCTTTTCCCGCTACTAACTTTAATTGTAGGGACCAAAGACTATTGCCATCCCAACCCATGTCTAAATAGCGGCACATGTGTCCAAGTATTGGGTGGATATGACTGTCATTGCGATGAACAATACACTGGAGCGCACTGTGAAGGTAACAAGGAGTCAAAAAAACTGTGGTCATCGAAGATACACCTATCTTGAGAAAAAAACATGAGGTTCTTTCCAGAACTCATGTAGAACTGCCTTGGTCAAAGTTGGATGCCCTAGTTATCTTCCAGATAAGTCACTAGTTACTCCGCAGATTGGCCGTAATTAACTAGGCCAGTTGTGGATAGAAATTTAGCAGATTTGCGGTGAACCACCAGATTTTTGAACTACCTGCAATTGACCCTAACGGTCTGTGAGTTGTCCTTGTAGTCTGAACCTCTATAGGAGGTGATTCCGTAAGAAAATTAGAAAAACAAGAACAGCAACAATAAAACCTAACATAATAATAAACAAAATAAAGACTTCTAGTAAGGCAACTAATAGCCATGCGGTGATGAATGAAAAGAAAAAAAAAACGATAGGCAAAGATCTGATAAAGACACTGCCCGTGTCATTTTCATGTTTATAAGTCCTTTATATCCCAACCAAAACTGCTTTTACGGTTTTGATTCTCAGAGGATTTACAAGGTGTTTCGTTTTAAACTAAACACATTGTTGCGATCCGTTGCTTTGTTTTGATGAAAAATCGCATCTTTATTAGGCCAAACATTTCTTTTATAATTCCTAGTCGACAAGTGTGCCAAGTGTGATGTCCACGCCATCTGTGTTCGGGGACGCTGCAAATGCATACCAGGTTACATAGGAACAGGTTATGAATGTATCAAAGGTAAAATATTTATTCAGGAGGAAGATGATTAAATTTCTTTTAATCAGTGACACAGGCGGCTCGGAAGAAAAACTCCGAGTACTCCTAACATGAGTCGAACCTGTCGCCCCATGTAATGATGAGAGGGAAATTGCAAGACAGTCTTGGATTCTGGATTCTACGCCATAGATTCGGATTCCAGTTACTGGATTCCAGGTCTTTGTCAGTGGAACAAGGATTCTGGGTTTCAAACGTTAGTGGAATTCCGGATTCCAAAGCCCAAGATTTCGGATTTTATTAGCGAAAGTTTCCAGGATTCGAATTCCACAAGAAACAATTTTTCGGATTCCGGAATCCGGATTGCCTTATACGGGGCGAAACCAATGCCCTTTTGGTAATAGTCCAGATACTCTACCACTGAGCTTCTCGAGACCCGTCGAAACTAAACCAGGTGCATGTGATGCTTGCTTGCCAATAGGAAGTTTGGGAATGGTTATGCATGCAAACAGAAGTTTCAAACTGACCCTATGTAAATAGGTCACGGTCAGACCTTTCCTCTCTAGTTCATTATTTTAATTTGTTTCCCTCCTCCATTTGAGCAATTCGGGGTGCAACCAATGTCAATTTCGAGGGTTAATACAAAGACAGTCGAACGGCTAATTCAGCATGACAAAATTATTTTTGGACTGCTACTTCTGTGAAACGTTTCCCTTGTTCAGCCAATCTCTAGAGTTTTTTCGCTATTACTGAATTACAAATGAATTTAAGTACCCGTAAAATTAGATTTACAGTGAAACCTCTATTAAGCGGACCCCCAATTAAGCGGACACCCTCTATTAAGCGGACACTAAGCCGGGTTCCGAAATTGACGTCTTATATTTCCTTTTGTAACGAACCCCTATTCAGCGGAAACCTCTATTAAGCGGACGCGGACACTAAAATAAGTTGTATTTGGCTAATTTCTATTGTTAAAAAACTCTATTAAGCAGACAACGGACTGAATTGACAATAGTAGTATTGGATTGCGTCCTCGAAATACGTACTGAAGTCAGTTAATGCAGGCATATGTTTTTCCACTAACAAACAAATTAAAGTTGGTAATGAAAGGTAATGAACTTCAACTCTGGATAGCTTCTTTAACAACATGCAACTTTATCACAGTACAGAGTAACCGTTGAATGTGGATCGTTAACAAACATTAATTGCGCAATTTTTACACCCTCTATTAAGCGGACACTTGGGAAGGTCCCGAAGGTGTCCGCTAAATGGAGGTTTCACTGTACTTTTAAAATGTTGATAAATGTTTTTTAGCTCGGAAAAAGCACTGCCCGATGGTATGTCCTATCTACTCGACATGTATACATGGCGCTTGCCAGTGCCTACCGGGATATCAGATGCAGGGAAACAACTGTATACGTAAGTAGGACATTTTTTAAAATAAAGAATTTTTTCTAATTTTTAGTGGATGCATTCTTAAGGGAAAATCCTGCTTTCCTTCTACCACATTTGGAATATATGCTACGTCCTGAAAATAACTTCTTTCTAGAGCTCCCAGGCTTATCTCTGAGTAGCGATTCACATGATTGCTATTGGACCTAAACATGCAAAAACTAGCAAAATAATGTTCCGACGTCTCTGTGACCTCATGATGCCATTATCAAAAAAGGAAATAAATTAATGCGAGTTAAAAAGAGTTAAAGTACTTAAAATTTGCATGAATAAAAATACATCTAGTCAAGACAAAGACTTGAGAATAGATTGAATCCATTTGCGAGTTCAAAGGTGGTCTTTTCTGTAGTTTGATGTACAGCATTTCGTTAACAAAAAAGTCATATTTTTTCGTGCATTTCTTCAGCACCTAAAACAATTGAGGAGGTCATTAGGAACAGCATCTGCAGCTCCATCGTCTCTGTGCAGCTGTAATTTTCATTTATGCAAATATACAGTACTATAACTGTTTTTGAACTTTCATCGATTTATTTCTCTTTCGTGATAATTGCAGAAAATTTTACGTAAAGAAATTAACTTTACAGGCATACAGTATGATAAAAATAATAGCAAGTTATAAGGATGGTTACTAAAGACTGTTGTTGCCGGTTATCATGACAGCTCCTTTACTCATCGCACACAAGCCCTTGCCTACTCAACCACACACTCCTCCTCCAACGCCACCACCACCGCCGCCGCCACCACCCCCACCACCACCAATGCCTCTACCACCGCCACCGCCATCATCAGCGACGTCTGGGTATCCTGCAGTGGTGTACTATTATCCTTACGGCAAGCGAAGTCATGTACAGAGTCAATTTAAGTCTAGTTGAAGTAACGAACAAGACTAAATGCTTACTTAAATGAAGGCTAAGTGTAAGTTAAAATTTCGTGACGTTACTATAGAGCTGCATGAATAATACTACAAAATCAGGTCACACACGTGGTGGTGGAGATGGTTGGAAGGTGGATCAATTCAATGCCATGCGACTGAAACTATCAGACGGTACCTACCTACACTACTTAGCAGTTTCAATTTAATTTTTTTCATTGGTTTCGGAATCATAGAAGAACCCATCAAATTCCTTCAAGGCTTTAACTTCAGCTTAAAACTTAACCTATCCAGTGGTAACGATAGCGTTATCATTTTTGTGAAACTATTTCAAGTAACGGAAACATTCGACGTGTAACATTTGCGTTTACAAACTGGACTTACAGGTTTGACGGTTTACGCCATACATAACGGTGAAGACGAAGAAGAGGAAGAGGAAGAGGAGGAGGAAGAAGAAACTCGTCCATCTCCTCCTATTCCCAGCACCATACACCCGACCAAACCGACAGAACCACATATATCTCCTGTACCTACGCACGCCACGGGCGGTCCACCTCCTGAGCCATCTCCCCCACCACCGCTAACAACTCCCCCGCCTCCTGTCACACCCGCGACTCCTTCACCACCGCCTCCGATCCCTGTACCCTCACCACCACCACCCGTACCTGTACCCTCACCACCTCCTCCTGTACCTGTACCTTCAGCACCTCCTCCCGTCCCAGTACCTTCAGCACCCCCTCCTGTACCAGTTCCATCCCCTTCCCCCTCATCTCCGCCGCCGTCCCCTCCACCCGTCCCCCAGCCTCCACCTCCTGTGGCAGCACCTCCCCCTCCTGTTGCATCACCACCCCCTCCTGTCCCCCAACCTCCTCCTCCTGTTGCAGGACTTCGCGCTCCCCCTGCTCCTCCACTTCCAGCTGGAAGCCCACCTGCCGCTGCTCCTCCCTCTTCGGTGACGTCTTCTCCTGGATCATATGGGCCTCCATCTTTTGATTATCGCTATTCTGACTACCCAGCCAGTCCTGCTAATATTGGATATCAGCCTAATTATAATAGTTATTCTAAGCCGTCTGAGACCCTTTATAATCGATTATATCAGACGTCTGCAAATACCCAGAGTTATCAAAACTATTACAATCAACCTTACCAGACGTATTCTAACCAACCTTATAGAGGCTACTTTGAACGGCCATATCAAAGATCGACGTATAGTCAGCCACACAGTAAGGCCTATATTAGACCTTACAAAAGACCCTACATCAGCTATAACTCAGCGCATTATTCCCCTTTTCAAAGGACTTACATCAAACCTTATATGGGACAATACAATAGACCATATAGAGGAAGCTACAATGTACCTGCTCGGAGTTCTTCTAGTAGGCTTTACATAAGACCCTTTAACACATCCAACAGAAACACCTATAACAGTGCCAAACAGAGAATGTATACTAACTATTATCAAAGGAATCCGAGCGTCCCCCAAAAAACAATCTATGGTGGCTCTAGTAGGCTTTACATAAGACCCTTTAACACATCCAACAGAAAGACCTCTAACACTTCTAAACAGAGAATGTATACTAACTATTACCAAAGGAATCCGAGCGTCCCCAATAAAACAATCTATAATGGCTCTAACCTGAATGCACATAGCATTCCAAGGAAAACTCCGTTTACCACTCAGAACAAGAAGGCAGATAACACTTCTAAGCAGCACTTTCATGATGGCAATCATAAGCGACCCGCTCAAACCAAACATAAGAAAATATAACCAAAGACCTCCCTATCTCAGGTTAAATTGAATTTACTTACCCCAATTATGCGGGGAAAGTTCTATTAAAACTATTTTAGAATAGTAATAAGAAATGGAATAACTTATAGAAACAAGAATAATTTTCAAATGTTAGGATCAAACTTCAGATGGAAAATATCTGCTTATAGAATCTGTGCATTTTTATTTGGAATAAGAGCTCACATTTAAATAACATTATAAAGCGATGTTTGCAACAAGACAAAAATTATATTATATAAATGAAAAGTGCTGGTCAATGCTGACGTTTCCTTTATGCATGCTTTAGTTTCAGGTTAGAAAGAAGTAGAACGAAGAAATGAAGGTTCTATAAAATGATAATTATTACAAAAAACGTTGACTTATATATCGATGAATGTAATGCGACTAAGTATAACTAAGAAAAATTTTGAATAGCCAGTATAACTTTCTCATGCCATATAAAACATTATATGAATATAAGACTAATAAAGTAACTGTTATTGACGAAAATGACAAGAAAATGTGGTATTTATTTAATTTATTTGTTTAAGGCCTTCTCCCCCAGTATTACCCTTGCAAACTTCGGGTTTTAATTAATGATATACCACTAAAAAACACAAGTTCGTAGCTAGTCGAGCTACCTTTAGTTAAAGGGCTGTGTAATAGCTATGCTGCANATAATTATTACAAAAAACGTTGACTTATATATCGATGAATGTAATGCGACTAAGTATAACTAAGAAAAATTTTGAATAGCCAGTATAACTTTCTCATGCCATATAAAACATTATATGAATATAAGACTAATAAAGTAACTGTTATTGACGAAAATGACAAGAAAATGTGGTATTTATTTAATTTATTTGTTTAAGGCCTTCTCCCCCAGTATTACCCTTGCAAACTTCGGGTTTTAATTAATGATATACCACTAAAAAACACAAGTTCGTAGCTAGTCGAGCTACCTTTAGTTAAAGGGCTGTGTAATAGCTATGCTGCATGGTTCATTTCGGCAACTATACCTAGTACGCGCATGACAAATTACTTGCAAATGACAAAATCTCAGTTTCGTCTTTTACAATTAATATGTCTCCCAAGCATTATACCAAACGTTACTAACAACAAAACTGAGTTTTGAAAAACTGTTAGGCTGAATCTAAGTTTTCAAAAACCATAATTGCAATCCGTTTCTATCTTCTTCAATTTGGTCGACCGTGCCTCCTTTCGTATTCGCTGTGCTACAGTCGACTTCTGGTATCTCGAACCCTCTATAACTCGAACCTCCCGCTAACTCGAAGCAATTTTCATTCCCCTTCAGATTATTTTCTATGTAATTTTACCCTCGATAACTCGAACTTTTTTCTATTTCCCTTTAAGGTGCGAAATCAGTCGGGAGTCGACTGTATCTGTCACTTCTTTGAATGGTTTTGAGCAATTATTTTGACTTATGTTTTGCTTAGTTTGTTGGCCGTTCCCACTTTTTGAATTTTGACGTGCCAGCAAAACGCGGGGTCGAGGCCAAAGCCGGGGCTGGAAAAGATAGACTCCGACCCAGGCCCCTGCACCGGCACTGACCCCGACTCCTACCCCGCGTTTTACTGACATATACCATATTTCGTGACACAGCTCCAGAGCCTTTAAGCCAAAACAAGACTTGATGCGTAATCATTCAGTTTGAAAATAAGTTTTGTTTGCATATGGGGGAAAAAACTTGATTTCAATTTGAAGGGACGAGCACCAAAACTCACTTCGAAAACGATGCCGAAAATGATTCGAAATCCCTGATTCTAACGTCTATAGTTGGGAATCGAGAAAGTTCAGAAACAGACTGTCGAGAGACTTGCCAGCTACAGTCGACTCCCGATGATTCGAACCTTCAAGGGAAATAGAAAAAAGTTCAAGTTATCGGGAGTTCGAGTTATCGAGGGTAAAATATATGGAAAATGATCTGAAGGGAAATGAAAATTTGTTCGAGTTAACGGGAGGTTCGAATTATGGAGGGTTCGAGTTACCGGGAGTCGACTGTATATAGAAATTATATCCGTGTTTCAAAAATCATTGCTCTAAAAGGCAAGTTTTTTTCTGATAATTCCTCTTAATTTTAACATTATGATATGACCAGATGTACTTCAGACCAAAGTGGGACCAGGGAACTCTTCCCCCTTTAGTCCCGCCCATGAAATGTAATAGGCCATTTGCACTTAGAGGTCATGTGACATTATTTTTATGAAAATGCAAGTTATATGATTTTACCTTCAAAAAACCATTAATGGGTAATATTTAAACAAAATAATAGTTTTTTTTTCAAATCCGCACCATTTTCTTAAAATGAGTCAGTTCATAGCTGGTCACATGACCAAAATGTGATTTTAAAACTATGAATTACTTCTTTCCAAACAGAAATTTTGCACTTAAACTTCAAGGAAAATGTTGAAAAGATGATGTGGTAATGTTTTCAGCACATCTGAGCGTAACTATCAAACGTTTAACGAGATACAAACAAAAAGTAGTATTGGCCGCCATGTTGGAGGGCAAGAGTATGCCCTCCAACATGGCCGCCAATACAAATCATACTACTTTGTCGAAAAATCAAAGCGCCATAAAATATCACCCTTAAATGCGTTTCCTCTCAAATTTCGGTTGTAAGATAATTTTTATGCCCTCCGTCAATTTTGGGCATCAGCATGATTCCAACTCATTGTTTAAAGGAAGCATTGGTCACGTGACCTATTAGTGCAAGTGGCCTATTATTCTGTTCCATCAGAAATCACCGATTTTCTGCTCGCCTCATCACGAGCCACATCAACTTTCTCTAAATCTCTCTGCTGCTTCTCAAAAGGCCATTCAATTTCATAAACCTAGTAGCGGCTACAATATTGAAATGGGAACGGTTTAGAAATTGCTTTTAGTGCTCCTAAATGTTGGTACCCTGCCTTTTTTAAGGTGGTGTTACACGAGACGATTCGCAACGAGGATTTTTAGCTCAACACAGCGTTGCAACGTTGTTGCGACATTGTTTCGAATCGTTACAACAATGTTCCAGCTTTGCAACCCTGTGTTGCGCTACAAATCGATCGTCGTTGTGAATCGTCCTGTGTAACATCACCTTCAAGTTAAGATTGTCAGTTTCTTAAGTTCGGTCAGGATTATTTGCTATGGGCATAACGAAATGTTGATGCCTCATTCACTCATCAGTTTTAAAACACTACTATCCTCTTTGTGTCGTAAGAAGGCTGAGGCCTGCGTGGTTGCTATTTTCATTACTGCCATTTTTATTGGAATTATCGGCCGTACGGGAGACTCTACGGAGAGGATGCGGAGCAGAGAGGTACTAAAAAAAATGTTTCTGGAAAAAACGAGAGCAGAGGTCTGTTGGGACCACTGCTGTCCTCACGACAGGTAACTGTTACCGCTTGTCAAGTTTCCCCTCTTCCCTGATTCAATGGTTTTTGGTTGTATTATTGAGATTTTAAGTAAGACTGCTGGTAACCATCAATGTATATTGAGATAAATTTATTGAGGTCTTATTAGAACAAATGATTATTTTTTCAGCCCATCTCACGAGGAGATGATAACTATTTATGAAAGAATTAAGGGCGACAAAATATATATTTTCATTCGTCTAGGTAACAACTAAACAACTAAATCGCCTTTTATTAATAAAAAGTAACAAATTTGGAATTGAATTTTAATAAGATGTTGTCGATTCTCATGTTATTAATCTCACTGGCAAATGCAAACTTTCATTTAGCTGTAAATAGTGAGATATTCTGATTTTAAGGCCACTATTTTTCCAATGTACATGTTAGTTTCAAGCTAAGGTAAAACCTCATGCCTATTAATTGCCTTATAAGCCCCAGGAAGACACATCGGTCTCGTAGCCACATATCCTTGATGAAGTGACACATCGGATACAGATTATCTTTAAAAGGTCTTAGAGGCAATTGCACAGGGGAAGACAGCGCGCGCGAGAAAGGCGAGAGAGAATGTGGGTTACCAAGTGACAGAGCAATAATGTCTCTCCGAGAATGTCTCAATAATGTCTCTAAATTGTGATAGAAACTGTTAGCCTAAAACAACCAAAAGACCACTAGTAATTATGCCTTTAGGATTATATTAATTGCAGAAACATTTTAGGCGTTATGGCTAAATAGAAATTAACTGTTATTTCTAACAGGGACCCATTCCTAGGTAATCTTTCTATTCAAAAGACTAAACAGTCTTATATTACTTCGATCAGTTGTTACACATTGCCAATCACATAATCATCAAGAATAGTAAATACAGCAAAGCTTCCTGGGTCCGCAGTTTCAAATAAGAAATTTTTTTCG